GCACGACCAGAGGCGATCAAACAATGACTTGTCAGCGAAGTATGAAAGCCATTACCAGCAAACTCAGCTGCGCTGGTCATTGCCGTCTTCGTGGATGGGGAGCACGAGACGGGCCATATTAATGGCTAGAGACGTTGTCAGATATGGCCACTGTCGCGCCCTCAATGGCGCTCGTACATCCAACCTATTCCCTTCAATGCATAGCTCCTTTTCCAGCCCCCCCCAGTTGACAGCCCACTGATAGTGCTGGATTTACGCACCAATTTGTCAGCTCCCGCCTGCAATGCGCAGCTATCTACCCCTCTCCCCCCCAAACCAACGGTGAACGAAACTGTGGCAGCTACAACCACTGTACGACGAGTACGCGGTTATTACAGCTGGCAATGATGATGATGATGATGATGATGATGATAATGGTGATGATAATGTCTTCTCTAGACTTCCCTCACACCAGCATGTTACCATTGTTACATCATCGGACAATTCCTAGGGAATTAACCGCAACCATAAGTAGTGTGTTATGTCTGCGGACTGACCTCGCTGACATTGGGGTGTTCACCTTACAGACTATTCTTGGCTGGTTCTACGATCACCAGGCGCCATATCCGGACCGTTGTGTCCATGCTTGTGTTGTCCTACCTAAACTGCGAAATAAATCAGTGGCAACCTTGTCCCCGAGATCTGTTAAGGTCAATCATCAGCGAGGGTCCCCCATTCGTGTTTGGGTGTCATTAGCTCCCAGTCTTGGTTAATGCCCTACAAATATGTGCTGCACGATGGGCTTATTGGCACAGCTTTTGGTCACGTTCTTATCTTTTCACTTTCACATTCTTTTGACCCCAGTCTCGACATGTCACCTATCCGGGCAACTAGCACGTGGCCAGCGTGACTGCCATTCGCCTACCTACCAGATGCGTGACCATACTGCATGACTGGAAGTTTTTCCCCCTTGCTTGTGCAATCCTGCGTGGACCCCAGAGGGAAGTAGAAATGGGCTGCGAAAAAACAGTGCAATACAGCACTACTCGGTGCAGTACACTACAGTATACCATAGCAGCAATATGCGCGACATGTGTCCTACCTAAAGCCTCTTGAGCATGACTTCCCGTCGGTTTCTTATTTTGTCGACCTTCAATGCGATCGAGTGAATTGTATTCTGCGATTAGCTCAGAAAGATCAAACACAGCGGGGATGAATCCCTGCTTATGATCCCGATGCATCATCTGTTGCCTGTCCACAGCCACAACCCACTCATCTTTCTACCCTTGAAGCTGATCATGGTGATTCTGTTTCTCATCACGGGAGCGATCGATTACTGGTTCGGATCGAAGTGAAAACCTCTCGGTTGATCATGTGTGCAGTTAGCTGGTAAATGTTGAGCCATATAACTCTGTTGATGACCCTAGTCCAGTCTACGCATTCCGCTCAACAAACTTCGAGATCCAGCTTTTTCAAATAAATCCCTATACACAGAATTCTCAAGCTATGCGAACCCTGTAGTATTATAGGAATATCATTTTGTCACTCACTCTAGCATGTACCTTACGGATCTCACAGATTTCGAGAATGAAATCGAAAACCGTTGCAGAAATGTTGGTTTCTGGTAAAGCAGTCTACCGCAGGTTCTGTCCTGGTGCAGGAAAAATCAATCACTTGTTCTTCAGGTTCAAAGTTCACAGCCACAACCAAAACATCCAGAGACCTTTGATTTCAATTGTTTGTACGACATATTTGAATTCAATTGGTCTGGCTTACGTGCAGGAATGAAAGAGGGAAAGCCCTTCGTCGTGGAGTTGTTTGTTAGAGAACACAATTGCAAACTAATGGACAGAAAAGTAAACCTCTCATATGCACTTTTTTAAAAAAAAACCTAAATATCCGTCTTCTTCCTGAACATCCTTGGATATTCGTTGATTATCACGCAATTGTAAACGAATGCTGCAGAATAATTCCATACATTCCGTAATTAACCCCACCTTCCATTAGACGCGAAGCGGAATTTCGAGAAGACAACATACTACTCGCATGTCTCATCAGTAGCGTCCGCCGCCATACATCTTTCCCCGTTAGAGGTCGCTTGCATGCCACCGGTTTCCATCTACCTCCGTTAGGTCGACCCAAGCAGTTGGTCTATTCGGCAACTCTTCTGATTTATTATGCCACCGAAGCTGAGTCCCATTTACTCTTTTCGATTCCCAAACCTCTTGAATTGTACAGACGTTCCCGCGACGGTTGGTGTAATCTATTCAATCCTATTTTGGGGTCTTCTTTTATAGCTGTCAATAGTTGGGAAGAATTGCCTGACGCATGTGCTTGACAAAGCACAGAACCTCAGTTAAAACGCGCCATGTAATGTGTGTGTGTGTGGGGACCGCGTCCTGTGAACCCGAACTTCTTGCACTCGAATCCCGGCTGCATGTATCCGATCTGATTCAGTCACATCTAAACGCCCTTCAAAGACCGACTTCCACTTCAGTACTATCGCTCGTAGAAACACAAAACCCACTACTTTTCACTGAACAAGTAGTCCGTCAGACTAGTTAGCACTTGAGAACAAATGTTTGGCTGTCCACTGGTTGTCGACGCATTCGCCAGACCAAATATCAAATAACTTGAGAACTGTAGAAATCAAATTATTTGTTTTCTTACTCAATAGACAAATTGTTCTGATTTGTGGCCGAAACTGAGGATACCAGATGAGTGTCCTGATTGATTGCGTGGGCGAAAACCAATTCCTAACACTGTTCACCCCTTCTTTCTAGCGAGAACACCTCACTCCGGGAGTCCGTAGCACATTTGACTCAGGTTCGTTCCAGACTTCAGTCCGAGCTAGCATGCACAGACCAGTTGTTGAACAACGCCCGGTCAGAAGTAGATGAACTGAAGGAGAAGGTGACGAGTTTGTCAAGCAAGAAAGAGGTGAGTCTCAAAGGAAGTGGTCCCATTGTTCATTTCTGCGAAGAACCTGGACTGTGATGTCTTCGAAGGTCAGACCTACGACATGATAATACATATGAGTTTAGAGGGAAGAAACCTTAATTTCATTTTCTAACACACCCGTTGAGTTTGCTGACGTAACTCGTAAAGGGCACCGAAATAACCCCTGGGATTTGTGATCGTTATCGCAATAGTGATGGTTATTCTCCGACTGTCGAGCTGAGTTGACGCGTGAATGTGTGTCCTCTCAATGCACGTAGAATCATTAGTAAACTTGTGGGTGGGGGTGGAAATTCAAACCCAACCAAAGTTCATAGAATCCCTCTTCCTTGCACTACTATCGCAGCACCAACTCATCCACACAGACGGACGAGAAGTGCAAGCGATGATCATGTAAACCGAACCTGAAGAATTAGGTCCTGAGCTGGACCCAAATCCATGTAGGTTTCCTCATCGACTTAACACTTGCTCACCCATCCTAACACACAAAACCCCTTGTGCGACACCTAACAGAGGTTTGGCTTGACTTAGCTGATTAGTTCTCCTTCCACCTTAAATCTCGACCAACTTCGTAACCTAGTCACTTGGCCCGACGAACCTTTTGTTCCAAAAGCGAAACGCTACCCAACAACAAATCTGCCGATTATTACCAAACTTTTCCGAAAAGTGGTCATTATGTTTTCTTATCGGGCATCCAATCGCCTTCAAATCAGCGAATTTTAATTAGCTTCCGCAATCAAATGCCCACTGAAGGATTTTTGGACATTCGTTGAATTGTGATCTACTGTCAGTTAACTGTTTTGCTCCTTCCGATAGCTCTGACTATCTCTTTTTGGAAAGATCCGAGTTTAAACTGTTTCTGTGTTGTTACCGTGGCAACACACATACCGTGATGAGTTCATCTAGGGCTGCTCACTTCTACTGGAAGTTGAATGGGGTACTTTACTATTATTATGTATTATATTATATTACGTTATATTATAACACTGTATTATATATTATATATTATCATATATCTATTCACCATTGAATATATTATTTATTATCGCTTACTTGTTTAATAATATTATGGTGTATTATATTACTATATTATTAAATTGTTATGCTATTACCGCTTATAAATGCCCATACCGGGTTTTTCGAATTTTCCTCTGTACAGCTGAACACCAAAGGCAAGTCTCACTAATAGATTTAAGATTAAAACGTTACTGCTGAAATTCCCTTTTCATCTACTACGGTTCCTAGGCCTTAAGGGCCATCTCTCATTCAGAGGCATAGCCATGTTGCTGCGATCTCAATATGGCTTTGTGGTGTGGCATTCCCGCCACCTGCAACCATCTCAGGCTAAGCATTGCGGAAATAAGTCAAAGTGGCTTGTTTCCGGTCAAAGGTCACTAGCGAACCGGACTTTCTATTTAGGACTTTTGGAAAGCCCATTAGGTCGCCAGTTTACCATTGTCCATGTGGTCGAATTTATGATCCCCCAACATTCATCCCCAGGATTCTAGTGGTGCAGCCACAATGCACAAAAAGCGATTCACGCGCGCCGAAATGTCACGTGTCCTTTCCGAACGGAATCAGTACAAAGAACGTTTGATGGAGTTGCAGGAGACTATCCGTTTCACAGAAACACTGAGAGCCGGTCAGAAAGGCCATCCGGAATTGCTCATTGGTCTGAGCGGGTCCGGGACTAAATTGACGAATGCTTCGGCAGCTTCAGGGAGTTCCACCACTTCTCAATCCGGACGTCTTCAGTCGTTACAGAACTTGTAAGTACCACATCATTGCTGGTGTCTTGTTGGCGTGTTTTTTTTCTGAATCTGAAACCGTTGTTATTCTCTAAATTCACTGTGATTTCTACGACAGGATTTCTAGGAGCCATGTACACTCTGGAACTTCTCTGTTTTCGATTCCTTTCATTAGTTGCGTTATTCCTGTCATGAATTATCGTTTGGCTCTTACCACACAATTCCTCCAATCCACACCGTCTTTCATGGCATTGTCACGTGATGATATTGATACACTGTCGTGACCAGTTGGGCTCCTCGGTCATCTTGTGCGTTGAACAAACAACTCTCAAGTTGATTTTGACCGGTATCTTTCACTTACCTGGAGCATTTCCCACCGATGGCGTTCCATTAAAATCCTCGGAAGTACAGCTATCGGGCGCGGAATTGCTAATTCGTTATGCTGTTCCCAGCTGAAGTAATCTAACAGTTCTTTCTACCCAGTTCTTTCGCACACTGCTATATCTGCTGGTTCGCCAATCTGTGGTATCTGACTGCTGACCCGCTTCAGTGCCTAGTGCCGAAGAAAAAAGACTGACAGAAGGGAACCCAACAGCTATGTTCCGAACAAGCGAGTGCGAGAGCGTGAGTACGTGCGAGTGCAAAAGTACGACGTTCTCAAGCTATTTATTGGAAGGACACTGTCTGAACTTATCCAGTGCTGACACACGCGGTTGGGCCTTGGTGCGGGGCTGCGTATTGCGGGGGCGTTGTGTGACGCCGACTCGCGCCGTCTGGGTTTGATACAAGGCTGTGAAGCGCTGCATAATGAGGGACGTTGTCTGTCTGGTCAACATCTAGCGGAGCTGAAAGTCTCAGTAGATTTCGGGCATTCAGTGGTCGCTTTCAGGAATCCGATCTTCCGGATACCCTTCACAGCACATCATGTACTGGCCACCTGTGTCGCTTGCGAATACTCCCCAGTGGATTGGATCCTAGGGTAGCCTAGCCCTATGAGGTTGTTCCTCCTTTCTAGGAGTTCACCGGTCAGACGCACAGGGATCGTAACCTTTTGGCTAGCGGTTTTTGAATGTGAAGTAGACGTGATTCTTTCCGGGTTCCGACCACAGTTTTGCGACGATGCGGCTAGATTTCATGCCCGTAATTTGGGTGTTATTGGTGCCAATTTTCCGCGTTTTCACTACACTTGTGCACCAAACCTGATCGAACTTCCGTAACCAAATCTGATCGGCTTGCGGGTTTATCTGGGGCGACTTACTGAAGAGAAGTTCTTTGGATTCTGGGTTGTCTGCGTTCTGTCGAGCAACAAAGACACTATTTTTGGCCATGGTCAAGTTACTTGAATAAAAGACCTTTCAGCTTTAACATCCTTTCGGCATCCAACTGCCATGCCACGCGAGCTGGGCTACTGCCAGGTTGCCCAATCCTGGACAGGGAAAGTCGAGAGCTGGAGGTCCAGTTCAAACCACGGACCTTCCGATCAGTAAATTGGTGCTCTAACCACTGAACCATCTCGCTGTAACACCCTTCCTATGCCTAACTGCCATGCCACCCCGAAGAAAGCATGGGGGTTGGTATACTGCTAGGTTACCCAAACCTAGACAGGGGAGGTCGAGAGTTCGGGTTCGAACCATGGACCTTCCTGTCAGTTGTCACCACTTGAGCCATCTCGCTTCCAAATAATCCAAACGATTCATCCCATACCCCTAGATAGGACTATGAAGTGTAGGTTGTTTTCACTCAGACTAGGCTGTCTCATCCTCCCGTTTATAATGAGCAATTTTTGTTGCTTCCATTTTTATCTACTATCGACAAGGGGAAGCACTTCAGTGAATTCCTCGTATTCGACTACCTCGCATACAGATTCAGATCGGTTCACTACCTGCTCCATTTACGTGTATGGTTACCATACTACTGATTATCAACCGTCCATGTTATAGCACATACCCGTCGCTTCCCATATTTCGACCATGGTGGGCGCAAACAGAAGTACCGGCCATGTAGGAAATATCTGTGCCCGTCCACTTTGGCACCGTTCTTTATAAGGCTGGAATTTCAACCACGTAGTCATGATGTCTGAATCAGTGTTTTAAAAAATGAGGTCACGAGTTATAGTCAAACAAAACCTTCCCCGTTCATCTGGCAAGTCCCAAAGGAGTAGAACAAGTTCCTGTTGCTCAAATTTGTGCTGGTGCCTTTCCTCAGAGCAGTCGGTTAAACTTAGGGGTTGACTGTCGATAATATACTTCAGCGTATTGTGCCGTGCAACAGGTCGTCTCATGATCCAGTTGAAGGGGTATCGATTTGGTTGAAGAACAGAAGATTTATTTGAGTTTTCATGTTAACATTCTATCGATCTGCTGCTGAGTGTCAGATTCCTCGTGTTCCTTTTTCGTGGTCACCCACGAAATAAGTTTAGTAGAAATTTTCGCAATATTCCCACGTGTTGAATCTCAATACAACTGACCGTTGGGGAGTTCCAACTAACCGCTTATAAGTATGGTCGTAATAAGAACCCCAAGCCCAGAGTTCTGTGATGATAAGTTAGGTTAGCTAGTTATGACATCCAAAAAGGCGAGTCTTTGCGTGTCCCACCCTGAAATTCAGTTATCTAGCTGTTCAAAATCATTCCAAAGTGAGCCTCGAAGTGAATCAGGGTAAGCAAGATACCGGACCAAGACAACCATCGAATCTTAGCTCCTGGAAATTCAGACGCCCCAAGGATTACTCGGACCGACTGCATTGCCCCAAATAAAATGAGGCGATAGGGTGCTCCGGTAAAACTGACCACCATAAAGATGGTTCGAACTCACTGAGGTTCCACGCTGTCCGATATGTTTCAGTCAATGTGGGGAAGTTGTCCTCCCCAAGAGACAGGAAAATTTACCACGGGGAGCGGTATACTCAGATCCGTTTGTGACCCGAGATAGCTCAGTGTGTAAGGTGCGTATTTGGTGACCAGAAGGTGCCTCGTTCGAACGAAACATAGGCTTGGTCAACTTATCGGAGCCCTCGTGTTTCTTCCAGATGGCATGGCATTGTAACAGCCGACTGACGATGACAAGGATCTGCTACTCGTTGTGGTAATGATGAAAATGTGGGCTGTACTGTCAGACAACGCAGTTGGCTGAACATCATAGGTAGTAGGGCAGGAGCTCCGTATTTTTGTTTCAAGCGTATTACCGAATTCCCTCTCCAATGCGTCACGACAAGAAACCACGCGCTTGTGTGCAACTAACGCCGTAGTACGAGATCAAGTAGTACATAGTTCACATCGAGTGCAGCGAACTTTCGAAATCAAATGCCAAAATCGGGCAGCACGGCTGGTTTTCAAGGCTCCATCGGTTCCTGGTCTCCGAATCGAGGATAGAAATCCCACCTTCCCTCGCGCGGTAAAATCTGCTAGTTTAAAGGTTTATTGGGACGAGAAATCAATCAAACCAGTTCGGATTCATGTCACGAATCGTTTTATCGGTGTTTTGTTGGCTCAGCGAGCGTTATCTGCCAGAAAGGCAGAAACCAAATGACCTGTCGTCACGTTCCTTTCCTATCTCATCTTGTGTTTTCTCCTCAATTGTTTTGATCACTGAGAACAGTACTCAACTGGTACTGTCCGAACAGATTCACCTCCACATGTCATTTATGAAACAGTTTGGATAAAGTCGCTTCTGATTTCCCATTCATCTTTGTAGACAGCGTCATTTCCTATCGCTGTCACACCCGTAAGCAGTGGAATACTCACTACTCAAATACGATGAGTAGCGTCATACCTGTCAGCTGCTCTATTCCCGTAAAACTCGTCCTCTTTTCCAGTCTTTGGATGCATGCACTTGTTCTCATTCCGTATTTTACGCAACCCCTCGTCTTCCTTGGCCGTCTCTCTCCGTTTTCATCTTTTTTTGTTTTCATTTCCTTGCAGATTCAAATCCCTATTTTCTGCCTAGAACTCCCCTAATCAGATTTTTTCCCGCTCACTTTCGCCCCCATCTGTGATCGACTCTTTTTTTGCACAGCCATTTTATGTGCACCTGTAAATTAGTTCCCTATTTAATGTGTTCGTGGACCGACGATCTCATTGATGTTCTCATCCGTTTGTCTTTTGTGGATATTATCTTACCCCACTATTTTTCTACACATTATCCGTTGTACTCTTTTTCGACAACTAACCTGTCTTTTTTCTGGTTAACAGCGACTGTTTCTCAGAGTGGTTCTGTAGCAGCTCAAATGTGATACTTTTTACTTTTTTGGCACACTGCATCAGTCACGTGGTGCAAACGGGGAATTCATATGAGAATCCCTTCAGCACCAATATATATATATATATATATATATATATATATATATATATATATATATA